CGTGGTTGGTCTGTCGTCCGAGCTATTGTGAGCTACCGTAACACTGTGCTCCGTGGCTTGGCTCTACCCTGGTATCGTGCTCCAATGCTCGGTGATTTCCCGCTTATGCTCTCCTGTGGCTTTGTGTTAGGTTCATCGTCTGTGCTTCATGTTCTACCGTGGTGTTATGGAAGAATTGCTTTCCGTGCACCTTACCGTTTCCGTGGCCCGTGTTTTTCAGCATGTTGGGGTGTCATTACTTCAGCTACTTTCCGTGATCCATACGCTCCCATCATATTCTTGCCATTCCAAGTTTTCATGGTAGCGTGCTCGTCCGTGGTTCGTGCTTTTCAGAATGGCTAGCTGCCTTCATTAATTTAGTCCTTTTTCAACGTCCGTGGCCTTCTGTGCTTCGTGTTCTTCCCTCTACCCCATCGTGTACATAGTGTGCGCCGGTGTTCCTCTGTGTTTCGTGTTCTTGTTTATCCACTTGCCTCCGCGCTAATTCAATCGCAAACGCTGTTTTTATTTTGTTTGATGTATGCTACATATCGTGGTGAAAAGTGCGCACAATCTCTTAAGGTCGTACACTACGCGCGCGAATACAAAGGAATACGATCCTTTTTTATCGGCGGCGGAGTGGTGTACATGGTTATGTGGGGTGGGATGGTGGGAAGCCACTATATTCACATTTTAAAAGTGCTCGAATATTTAATATTAGTAATAAATTGTGCATCTTTATCTAACGCAAATATAATACCGGTACTTTGGTTTAAATTGATTAGTATTAGTAATAACATGCGTTATTTTTCTTGCGCAACTAATTAATTTTTTGCTGTACTGCTATAAACTTCTGCAAGAAAAATATAAATTTTTTAAAACATAGTACTACTCAAAAGTTTTGTAAGTTTTATTATTTAAAAGTACTACGAAGCCTAAAATATCATTATATATCCTATAAGTACTAAAGTTTCGATTGAGGCCGAAATGTGAGTCACCAAATCCTACAATTTTTTTCAACAGATCCTACGACGATAAAGTACGTGTGTGCACATCGGCGCCTTCCACTAATGCTAATTAACGCGTACACAGGCAGTGCCCTATGCGTGTCGTGGCGCTCCGCAGCTAGAAATGAGGGCAAAATGAAATTTAAACGGTGCTTTTAAGTACGATGTGTAGACCACATACAGTGTGTACAAAACACAATGCCTATTTTAGCCAATGGGGGCCGCCTTCGCTGCGCTCGGCAGCTTTTTAGCCAATCGAGGCCGCCTTCGCTGCGCTCGGCAGCCAGTAGAACGCGCGTTTTAGCGTGAGGATTATTAACCCTAGCCCGTTACGGACGGACTGACGGACGGACAGACACCAGACTCCACTAGGGGGGTAAGACTAGCCGTTCGCCGCCGCTACGCGGCGGAGTGAAATGGTTTGTTGGAGATAAGGTGGCCGCAATTTTAAGTACTTCGTGTGTTGTGTGCTTTATGTCTGATCTTGTTCCCCGCGGGTTCGGCCATCCCCGTGCGATGTTGTGTCGTGTACTTAAAACACCTGTCATTTCGTAGTCTCATGTGGCTTTGTAACAATATCGGGGGTTTGGGTACGTTAACGTTACCCCCGAACCTACAGGTTTGAATGTCGGTGTTCTAGAATGGGCCTGCGCTCTTCCGTGTTCTACTTGGTTTCGTGGCTCTCTGTTCACCCGTGGTCCACGCTGTTTGTGGATATGCGCTCTCTTTCGAGCTTATGCACTTTAGTACAGCCTCTTTCGTGGCTCCTAGCTATTCTCTGTTCTCAAACGTTTACGCGGGCTGTACCGCTTTCGTGATACATAGGCATTCGTGGCCGTTGGCCTCCCATCGCCGGTTTTCTAACCAAAGGGTGCTATTCCGTGCTTTGGTGCCTCCACGCAGTCGTGTGGTTCCGTCGCCCGTGCATCGTGATCTCCTGATGAAGTGTCATCGACCGCGGTATCACGCTATCGTGCAATCGCGGTGTGGTTATGCTTTCTATGGTATTGTGCACGTGCTGTGCATCTGCGTTATCCGTGTTATCGTGCTCTACGATGCCATCGTGCTCCACGGTGTGTAATCGTGGTCATACCAAGCCCACCCCCTGTGCATTTGGTGGGCGGTCCGCAGTCCGTGCAATCGTATTATCATGTACTGCTGTCCTCCGTGGCTCGGTAAGCTCAGGTTCTACACTGGTATGGTGCTCTGTGACTCGGTGATTTCGCGTGGCAGCGTGTTCTCCGATGGTTTAGTGGCTAACCCACCGTCCATGCTGTCGTGTTATCTCTGGTGTCGGGGCTGGGCTGTCGTCTGTGTTATCGTTAGCTACCCGTAGTGTCACGCTTCGTGGGATCGGTGGAGCTCATGGTTCTACCCTAGGCATCGTGCCTCCAAAAAATTGATGAATTTTTGATTATCCGTATCTGGCCTCCTGCGGGCTCAATTTTGGTCGGTTGACTGTGCTCCATGTTTACCCGTGGTGTCGTTGGAGTATTGTTTCTGTGCACTCTCACCGATACGTGTTCTACCGTGGCTTCGAACGTCCGTGCTCTTCCGTAGCCCGTGCTTTTCAGCATGCTGGGGTGTCTATGTATTTAGTTCCCTTCCGTGGCCCGTACGTTCCTGTCATGTTCCATCCATCTGTTCTTTTCATGGCTGCGTGCTCTTTCATCTTTCCCGCTACTTATAAAACTTCGTGGTTTGCATCGGCTAAGTGTTCTATCATCGTCCATGGCCTTCCGTGCTTCGTGTTGCTCTTCTATCCCATCGTGTACATAGTGTAGGTCGGTATTCCTTCGTGTTTCGTGTCCTTACTTAGACATGTGCATCCGCGCCAACTTAATCACAAACGCTGTTCCCATTTTGTTTGATGTACACAACGTATATCGTGGAAAGTTCACATAATATCTGAA